ACGGGCCCAGCCGCTCCGCGGCATGTGGGATCCTCCCGGACCGGGGCACGAACCCGTGTCCCCTGCATCGGCAGGAGGACTCTCAACCACTGCGCCACCAGGGAAGCCCACAAAACTGGTTTTGATAGGCCAAGAAGGTGACAGGGAAGAACAGAGCACATGTGGGGAAGAGGTGGGGCAAGTTTAGGGCCATTGGATGTTGGGGGCCAGATTGGGACAGGGCAGGAGGTGCGGCAGGAAGCACAGCTTCCTAGGGCTATTGTACTGCGGAGAGAGGTGCAAACGGATTTTGCCACTAGAAAAGCAACAGAGGTACCACTTTAGTCTCTCCCTCTCTCCCTGCCTCTCTCCCTCCACTCTTTTCTGAGGCTGGCTCTGGGCCAGGTTCTAGGCTGGGCACTGATGCAGAAAGAGATCCTAGTTAGAGGAAATTCACAGTCCAGTGGAGAAAACAAGTCATGGGCATGAGAAACTGTACTCCAGGACTCCAAGGGATCAGAACACCAAGAGTGGGACCGATCCCGGGTCCTGGTAGTTCTTGGGGACTGGGTCAGGGGACTGCCCTGCATCACCCCAGCAGCAGTGGTCACTCTGGGGAGAGAAAACTAGTGTGGCTCAAGGACTCCTACGAGACTGCTCACCTCAGGATGCCCACTGGCCTTGTGGAAACAGGCCCTGGACCTGCTCCTTTCAGGGGTCGACCTCCTCCTTATAAGCCTGCGTCCCTTATTCCCATTATATCTTCGCCAAGCCCCTCCCAAGTCAGTGTCCCCCTCCCACACCTGGGAAGGGGAGGCTGTGGTCCTTCCTCTCTGGGGGGCAGTCAGTCCATCTGGTGCTCTCACCTCTTCACATGGGCTCCTGGGGCCGCTGCGGTGCTCTCCAAACCTTGCTAAGCATCAGAAGCTGCTTTCTATAATCACAGATCACTGGGTACCCCGTCAGAATTAACCAGAACTCTGGAGGTGACACCTGAGCCTGTGCATTCTTACAAAACCTCCCCAAATCTCTCAGAGCATCTTCCAGGTTTGGAAACCCCCGATCTATGGTGGCCAGTCAGTGGCTAGCGCCACAGAAGCCTGCAATCAGGCCTGGGCTCACCTGACATCTATCTTACAGACAGGATTCCGTGTCAGCGGAGAGCACTTGCCCACTGTGAGAGCACAGAGAAGAGAGAGGCAGATCCTGCTTGGAAAGCAGGGAAGGCTTCCTGGAGGAGGTGGCCTTGAAAGATGGGGGGATGGGAACATAAGGAGATGGAGCCACAAAGCCTCTCTAGGGCAGGGGTCTGCAGCAGAAGAGCACAGGGCTTGTCTGGGGCAGCAAAGCAGCTCCGTGTGGCTGGGGAGCTGCCATGCTCAAGGGCAGAGTGTGGAGGACCACCAGTGCAGGGGGGCCTTGCGACCTCAGGGCACCGGGGAGCCAGGAATGGCTTTAGGCAAAGGAGTAGTGGGGTTAGATGTGCCATTTACAGAAATCACCATGGAAACAGTACCAAGGATAACAGTAAAGTCACTGCCAGGCTTGTTTGGGATGAATTTATTTCATCCTTCAGAAAACCCTAGGTGGTAATTGTTGTTATTAGCCCCATTTTACAGAAGGGGAAACTGAAATCCTGGGGGCGTTAAGTAACCGGCTTGAAGTTGCACGGCGCAGGTTGGATTGCACCTGGGGGCACTGGAGGGAAAGGGGCCTCCCAGGAGGGTTTTGTAGTGGCCCGGGAGAGCGATGAGTCCTGAGCTAAGGCTAAGAAGTGGAGTTAAACTGAGAGGATGGAGTGAAGATCCTGCCAGGTAGAATCAAAGGCTCCTTGATCGGAGGAGGAAGGAGGGGAGACCGAACGAAAGGGAGGAGTCAAAGGGGCTTCTCTCTGGCTCCAGAAACTTGAGTGGTGATGGCGCATCACAGAGAAGGGGACCCAAGCAGAGGGGGCAGGAGTGGGGGGATCATTTGTGCTGTGGGCCTGTGGTTGGTGCCTGTGGGCCAGCCGGGGGAGACGGCCAGGACTCACGGGGCTCAACTGGGGCTGCGGACTTCATGGTGCCCCCTTGTTTTCCCCTAGTGCTCCTGGGAACAGCCCCTCCGGCTTCTCGGGGCAGGGGGAGGTGGGGAGTGGTGCGGGCTGCCGGGCCAGGGGTGGCCCCCACGGGGCGGGGCTGGACCGTGCAATGCCGTCTCGCCAGGCACTGGCAGGACCTGGGCTACATGATCCTCTACATCACGGGGCGGCCGGACATGCAGAAGCAGCGGGTGGTGTCGTGGCTGTCCCAGCACAACTTCCCCCAGGGCATGATCTTCTTCTCGGACGGGCTGGTGCACGACCCGCTGCGGCAGAAGGCCATCTTCCTGCGCAACCTCACGCAGGAGGTGAGTGTCCCGGCTGGGCAGGGCTTCCTCCAGCGCCCTCCCCCTC